CCCCCCCCCTCCTCTGGAGAGACATCCGCCACTGCCCAGTCTGTTTATTCATCACGCCGAAAGGCCAACTTGCGTGATGAAAGTTGTCGATGGTTTCCTTGGCTCAGCACTGGTTGGGTACGACTGCTCGCCCTCTTTCGCCTCTTCCTCCTCATCCTCTTCCTGGTCTTCGTCGACGAGCTCATCATCCTGCTGCTGTGCCTCGTCCAAGTGACGCTTCAGAGATATCAACTCCTGCCAAGAACGACCACGGATGCATCAATTTCTTAATGTAAAGCTCAGCAAGCGTTGTCACCTCGACGATTCTGGTGCCCAACAAAGACATCTGCTCTGCGCGGCTCGTCTTGTCCTCTGCAACACGTGACGTTGCGGAGAGATGCATGGGTGCAGGAAGGCAGTGCGATCCTGTGTCTCAAAGCTCTGTCACCTTCCAGTCTCCTGCTCATCAGCATCTCCTTGTCGTGATCACTCTTCATCCTGAGGACGGGACAAACACCGAGAGAAGGCGCCTTATGCACCCACATTCACTCCCTACCGCATCTCCTCTACCATATTACCTGTTGACGACGTCCGCGAAGCTCTTGCGTTCGTGGAATATCTTGGTGCGAATCCGCTGGTTGTCTTCCCTTAGTCTCTCATTCTCCTTCTGGGCCGCCTGCAGGCGCGCCCTCAGCTGCTGCTTCTCCGCCCTCTCCCTCTTGAGCTGCTGCTTGCTCGCACGCAAACTCTCTGCCAGCCCCAACTTCCCATCGACCTGCAGTGCAGACACACGCCACACACGCATGCATTCGGTGTGTGTTTGTTTTTCCGTGGGCGTCTTGCATTGCCGTCTTTTGGCTCACCTTGAGGAATGTGAGGGCCTCCGTTCTCGCCTGCTGGGCCTGCATCAGCAGGTTGGCGAGCGACTGGGCTTGCGCGGGGTCGACTTTCGGCGAACCTTTCTCGCCATCCGGGCTCAATGCGTCGCTGTCAAGACAGAGGAAGGCATGGCACGATGCCACTGCTGATGCAATGGCGTGTTTGGTTGCGTCCTCACGTCGTTTGGATGATTCCAAGGGTGAGTTCGAGGTCCTCAACCCGCTCTCTCAATGACGTATTTTCGCTCTTGAGGCTGCTGACCTTTTGCCGTACGAAGTCAAGAGCGACAGCCATTTTTGCGGAAGCGTGTCTCGTTATTTTGAGCTCGCAAATGTATGGAGGATCGCATTCATTGCTTGGAGGGGGGGTTTTGTCTGCGCAGAGAAGCGCAACAAGGGGAGGAGACTACGAGATATAAAGGGTAGGCACCGATGAAAAGTGACTTATGTAGCATCCATGCATGCCAATCAGTTCTACCCGAAGCACTCTCCGCTGTCTGTCCGTTGCCGTCCCAGTCGGTGTGTCAGTTGCCGCCGAGGGATGTTGCCTCCTCGCATGACGATTCGAATGGCGGGACCAACATTTTTTTCCAACGAAACGAAATTTGTCCGGAGCAGCAGCACACACACACAAATGTGGTCACTCACCGGCTGGCCAACACACACAGACATGCATGTCTCTCTCGGGGAGAAAACCGCCGCCAACGATGTGCAGACGGAGAAGCAAACAATCGGGCGAGAGTCTGTACTTAGACTTGTCGCCGCCTGCCCGCCTTCCTGCTCACTGCTCACTGCCTGCCTCCATACTGAGCGATCGTCCACTATCCATCACTTGTCGATCCCAGTGACTTCACTATCTACTCGTTACAAAACCCCAGCCACTGGGATCACTCGTGTGCAATACATAAGGCGGAGAGCGCAAATGTGAGGAGCCAAGGCAGGGATGGACACACTAAGCAGACGCAAGCACACAGACAGACCTTTTCCCAGGAATGAAGAGAGGGCGGCGAGGAGGGGGTAATAAAAGCAGACGACACACGTGTGGCCGCGTCATGCACACACACACACACACACACACGCGCACACGCACAGACAGAAGACACACACAAGACGAGGCAAGATAGAGCCAAAACAAAGGGAAGAGCGGAGAGAAAGGATAGACTCTGAGGCACAACGCCCCGGATTGGATGGAATGGATGGCTGATTGCGTGGCGTCACTGGCTGTTGCCTTCACTTCGCACCGAGAAGGGAGCCAGCCCACCACACACATACCTCACATACGAAAATGGTGCATGTGGAAAAAAGCGGAAAAGGCCCTACACGGGACAGCAGGAGACATATGAACGCGCCCTACTAATAAGCCAGCCAGCTAACGGCATGCACGTTATGTGGCCGTCCCTCTCCGTCGCTCATTCACTCGGCGTTGGCCATGGCGATGACGACCGGGATGATCCGCTGCATTTCCTTCTCCTTCGCCGCCTCGAGGATAGCGCTAGAGCCACTGCCAGACTCAGTCTTGTCGCTCGCAAAGACTTCGGCATTGGCGGTGGCCGTGGCCGTGGCCGTGGCATCAGCGTTGGCCTCCTGCTGGCCGCCTGTTGACTCGTTCAACACCTCGCTCATCACCTCCTGCACATCCACCGCCAAGGCAAAGATCGGCCAGCTCAGAGGCCATCTATGGATCTGTGTGTGTGCGTGCGAAAAGGTGGGAGAGCCGGACCTGCGTGACGGTGACCACAGGACCCTCCTGGGTGATGTCCGCCGACACATTCTGATGCAGCAAACACACAGCATGGCAAGGGGGCATGCAGCAGAACCACATGAAGCGACACAGCTACGCAAAACAGCTCACCGGCTTGATATAGATGTTGTTTTCGTTAATGTCCTCGTTGACGACGTCCTTGGTGAGAGTCACGTTAACGGCAATCTTCTCGTCCTGCACACCACACCACACCACACCACGTCACATCTCCATCTGTCTGTCTGTCTGGCTGGTGAGCGTCTGGTGTCCCCGGGGTGCCCGGCTGACCTTCTTGAGGAAATCGAGAGGGTCGTGCATGTAGGCAATCATGTCTTCCATCATCTTCATCGGGCTCTCGCTCTCGCCGCTCTCATCGCCGCCGCTCATGAAGGTCTTGACGGGGTTGAGGCGCGGACTCTTGTGCGAGTCGACCTTGCGCTCCATGTTGCTGTGCACAGCCGAGCGGCGGGGCTCCGTCGACTTCTTCTCCTTGTCGCCCTCGCTGTTGGTGTTCGTGCCATCCGCGTCCTTCTCGGCCTCTGAATCAATCAAGACAGGAATGACACACAGGGAAGGGAGACCAAGGCGTATGATTTATGTGGCGTGTGCGTCTCGTGCGTGTGTGTACTGTACGTGTACCTACCTGCTTTGAGCCTCTTATGGCTGGCGATGCCCATCGCCTGCATCCTCAGTGCGCCTTTCGCGATGAGCTCGGAGACCTCGCCGGTGACCTTGGCACCGAAGGTCTCCTTGTAAGCCCTGGTCCAGATGTTGTCCGCCTCAGCCTCGCGCTTATGCACCAGGAGCTTGGCCTTGCTGCTCATGGCAGGGGAGTCCTTGCCGAACACGTCCTTGAGTATGGCGGCCGCATCCGGGGACCACAGGAACTGGTCGAGGGGGAGGTTGTCGCGCTTCGCGAACCACGAGGCGGCGTCGAGTGTGAGGGGCATGACGTCCTTTTTGGCGATGCTGAGGTCCTCCAGCTGATGCACGGCCTTTGCCAAGGACCCCTCCGTGACGTCGTTCAGGAGCCTCTCCAGCGCTGAGGCCTTGTGGTCGGCCGTGAGAGCCTTCGCCCCCAGCAGGGAATCCAGGAGCCCCTCGAGGAACGACTTGGAACCCTGACTAGATGCAGCTGCAGCAGCGGCAGCAGCAGCGTCAGCAGCAGCGTCAGCGGCGGCGTCGGCCAGGCCGCCGAAAGACTGGCTGTCGCCAGTTGTGCCGTTGATCTGCAGACATGACGTCCACGCGCACACAGATGGACAGACTCAGGCGTGTGCGTGGTGGTGGTGGGGTGTGGGGGCTCACATCAACATCGCCGGTGGAAGCCGTGATATCGGCTCTGTATTCGGCGGTGTTCTCGATAGGGATGGAGATGTTGACCTGCTGGACCGTCTGCAAGAGGCAAGCAAACACAACGGTGACGACATATGCTTGTTCGACGCACGACGCACCGTATCAGAGTTATTGAAGAAGTCATTGACATCGATGTCGACAACGTCGTTCTCTATGTCCTTTTTGATTTTGTTTGAATTCTCTCCCAGTGCCGACGACATGAGGAGAAAACCGAGCAGGGCGCCGAGCATAACGTGATCCATTTTGTCCACGAGCTCAGGCCACGCAAAGCAAGGAGTCGACACTCGAGAACGCCCTTTCGTACACAAAATAAGGCACAACACGGAACCGGACTGACCTCTGCGTTTCCACAGGATGACTGTACACTGTACCAACGGTGTAAACTTGAGAGATCGGCACTCCGCACAATGAGCCAGTGGCTGCATGTCGCCAACCGCTCACGGCCATCCTCTCCCCTTGTCCCTCCTGCAGAGCTTCAGACTGTGTGGCATCCATCGTTACCCACCAACTCGCGGAGCCAAATGGCCCGTGTGGTCCTGGTAACGTCATGCTGCCTCCTGACGTTCGCTCTGCTTGCGGAGGCGCAGTTTCCAGCCCCAGGGGGATGGGCGTTTGAGCAGCTGCTGCCCAAGAATGAGGGCGAGCCCGAGGGCGCTGAGAGTGAAGTGACGCTCGCCCATCGGTTCAGCTTGTTCGGCAACCCCATCAAGATACCCGAGATGGACCTCGAGAAGTACCTCCCGCCACTCGTCCAACTCAACCTCAACCTTGCGGACGTAAGGAACGACACATCCCGTACCTGTGCGCATCGAGGATAACATGGCACACCGATCTATATCGATGCATGCGCACTTGTGGATCATGTTATGATGCAGACCTTTTACAATGAAGACACGGTCGAGGTTAATGTCAACAGGGAGGTCGACGTGGCGAACAACGTCGACTACAGCCTTGGCGCCGGGGCAGCCGGTCAGACCCAGAGCTTCAAGAGCGGCCTCATGACCTTCCAGCTGCACGACAACCAGCTGCTGCTCCTCCCCGACCTCCCACTCGACGGCGTCAATCTGGCCAAGCCGGTCAGTGAGAGCCTGGCGGTCAAGGGCGAGGGCGACAAGAAGGAGACCAAGATCGACGTCGCGTCGATTGGCATGGACGTGTTCGACCAAGGACACACTCTGTCAAAGCTCGATGGGCCCGTCATAGAAGGCGACCTCAAAGGCCACCCCATCGGAGAGGTCTGTGGTGTGGGGGAAGGGGCCTTGAGAGGCCAAGGCATGTGTGTGTGGGTGTGTGACTGCACTGCAGGCGTTCCATGGTCGGTATGGGCGCTACCCACAGGGCAAAGAGGCACAGGACCTGATGCGGGGCGGCATCAGGTGAGGGGATCGCAAAAATGGCTTTCTCTATGACATGCCTTTGACGCTGTTCCTATCATCAGATTGCAGGCCCTGAAGAACGACGCCAGGAGGAGAGTCGCCGCAATCACCAAAACCAAGCCCGAAGGTCAGACACAAACGCAATCACGTTCCCCTCCCTCGTCTCTCCCTGTGCATCCATGTGCCCTCGTTCCCTGCCGTGTTGTACGTGCAGATCTGGTGATCAAGGGACAGTCGATGAGGGAGCGCGAGAACGGCTTCGACAAACTGATTGCGCTCGCCAAGAAGGCCTCTAGCTCATTCCTGGGCAACAGCGATGATGCCGACAGCACGTATGACGTCGACAAGAAAGACGATGGTACCGGCGACAAGACTCACGAAAGCGACAAGACCGAAGATTTCGGCAAGGAGGATTCTTTGGAGACCATGTCGGGCCTCCTCATGACAGTGCCCAATCCCACTGAAATGCTCGACAAAATGCCGGAGTTTCAGGACCTCGACAAATTGCTTCCGCCCATATTCGACCTCGACATCGCTGTGGTGAGACATGGAGGGAGGGGAAGGAGGAACAGACCAGCCACACGCGCACACGTCTCGCTGCACGCCATGTCGTGTGTGGTTGTGATTGGGTCAGATCAAGCACATCAACAACACCGACGACATGAAGACCGTGACGGAAGTGGGCGACGAAATCGACGCGTCGATGGAGATCGGCAAGGGTGGCTTCGACGAGGAGTCGACTGAGGAGCAGAGCAACGGCATGCAGAACGTGGTCCTGTTTGACCAGGTCAAGGTTGAGAACGAGGAGGCCGACGTCTGGAAGGGACTCATCCCATTCCTCTTCGTTCTCGGCACTCAATAGCCGTGCCGGTAGTCATTTGTGTTGCTTCTCAAACACGCATATATATATATATATATGTGGATGGCTACATCACATCTTTGGTGGGCCAGATGCTTCGTGGCCGACGCTGTCGGGATTCTTTTGGGATGCGTTTAGCGTGCCACTCGCCACAGTTTCTCTCTCTCTCTCTCTGTGTGTGTGTGTGTGTGTGTCTGTGTGTCTGTGTGTCTGTGCGTGAGTGTTAATGCTGGCTTGCTTTTCTCCGTGTCTCTTCCTTTCCTTTGCGAACTCTCTTTTGCTGCTTCTATAGCTGCTGCTGGTTTTGGTCTGTGCCCGATATCTCTGTGTAACGATCAGAGAGGGCAGCGACGGCAGCAGAGAGAGCCACAGCAGCTGCGGCCTTCATTTCACATTCTCTTTCTCGTTTAACCAACCTGCCTTGCGGTGTCTCCTCTGTCTTCGATTCTTCTACATGAGTCTCTCTCCCCCTCCCCCTCTCGCTTTCCCCCTCCCTCTCCTTATATCCATCCCCCCGCTGCTGCCATCTTTTGCCTGAGTTCGTGTGTGTGTGTGTGCGTGTGTGGTGGTGCCTGTGTGTCTGAGTGTCTCTATTGTTGCTTATGGTTGACGTTGATTGGTGTTTCTCCAGCTGAGCTGGCGCCGTGGCGTGTTAGCTACGGCCTTTTGGTGGCGTGTCGTGGTGGGCTGATTTGAGTGGTGAGTGCGCCATGGGTAGTAGGTAGGTCATCCATCCCATCCTCCATTCTTCCATCCATGCACACATCCATCCACACATCCATCCACACATCCATTGGGTGTTTTATCAATAGTGAAGAGTGAGAGGCGGCGGCCGGAGACGCGAGAGATATAGTGTGGTGACACATGTGTGTGTGCGTGCGTGCAGGCATGTGTGGACAGGAGGTGACTAGCCTGGATTGGCTCTCGCCCGGTTGTCTCTCTCGTGCCGCCTCATGACATCATGGAGTGACTGGCTCGAGGGAGGGAGGGAAGGAGAGAGAGGCGGGGATGCCTCACCTCACATGCATGATCAATGATATTGATTGACTGATGATCGGTCGTGTCGTGTGTGCCAACGAGAGACTGCACAGGTCCGTACAAAACGCCAAAAAGACCTACAGCATGACTGTACAAATAGAGATAAGATACAGAGATACACGGCCCAACCCACGCCGGTATGGCTCTCTTAAAGGCTGGCTCTACGACGGATAAAGTCCAAGAACTCACAACACACACACATCTCTCGCCGCCTGTCTGGTCTGTCTCTCATCGCTCGCTCTCACATAAGAACTACACACATGGGGCAAAAGACGCAACAGAAAGGAGGGTACATCACTGGGAGGGAGCACACACACAGCACACACTCAGTCACTTCTTCTTCGCCTTGGCGGGAGCTCCCTTTTCGACGACGTCACGGTGGTTGTCTTGGTGATGGAAGTCGATCATGATGAACCGACCCTCCACCCAACGGAGACCCACATACGACGACGCACTCGCCAGGGCCGCCAGCGACATCAGCGCAATGCTGCCGACGCCTGTCCTCCTGCAGTTGTCCAGTGCAGTGCATCCACACACAGACAGTCAGCACACAGAGTCGTCTCATGATACCGGCGGACTGACCTGAGCAGGGCCGATGTGAAAGTCGCTGTGGATGTGAGAAAGGCGAGGGCCAGCGACGCCAACTTGCCACGCCTGATGGATGGATGCATCGTCGGCATTCATTGTGTCTGTCATGCACTCTGTCACTCCTTCTTTTCGACATGACATGCATAGGTACCTAATGTTCCTCATGGCGCCCATACAGATGGGGCAGTGTTTGGTGTGCGATTCATACACGTCCTGCAGCAGAGACCGGTCGCGCTCAGCGCTGCCAAGGGCCTGCACAAGGAAAGGAAACAACAAAACGCACACACCTTACTCAAATCATGGTTGCTCACTCACCGATGAGGCCTGTAGCCGTGGGTATGTGTTGGCATAGGTCGGGATGATGCCTGGGGGCGAGAACTTGTGCAGCCATCGCCTCAGCGACCGAGTGGGGACGTCAGAGGCACTCGGTAGGAAACAGACACGGTCATAGGGCACGCCCTCCTGCGGCGACTGGCCGCTCGCCGCACCCACAGCGGCCATCTGGTTCAGGATATTCCTCTCTGCAGCAATGAAGCATGCACATCAGGGTGTTTGTGTATTGTGCTGGGGGGTGTAGGCATAGCCTACCCTGTTGGTGCGGGAAGACCATGTCCTGGTTAAGGAAGTAGGTCTCCCACATGTGACGCACGAAATGGGGGATCACGTCATACTTCTGAGGGATGCTCGACGCAGCACGCATGAACAGACGGGAACGACCTGCACACACACACACACACACACACACCCACAGAGCGACATACACAACCCGTTTGTTTGTGTGTGCATGCCTCTGTCCCCATACTGACCAGGCTCTTGCGGCACACAGTAGCATATCATGTAGTTGGTGCGCTCGCCCTTCTGCGTGCGGTACTCCAGCCGGCAGGGCGGCCGGAACGTGACGGTATACGAATCGAGGGCCCTCGACCACCCGCCCAGCACGGCCGACACGAAGCCATCGGTCATCGACACGTTGGACGCGAGGGCCATGTCGAGCGGGCCCGCACTCTCACGCGACACCTTGGTGCCCTGCAGCGTGATAGAGTTGTGATGCGTCACTGACAAGGGGGACACACAGCAAGAGAGAGAGAGAGATGAACGGATATCTGCCAGGTACGCAGCCCAGGGCCTACCAGGTACGTGTGCGGGGTCCAGGAGGTTCTCGAGTAGCGCCTCGGCGCCGTAGGGCATGTCCCTCATGTACATGAAGTGGCGACCGTCATTCCATGTCGACTGGAAAGAAGGCAGCTCCAGCTCATCCACTATCGGCAGAGGCGTGGTTGCCGATGCCTTGAGGCCCTCAGGCGAGATGTCAAGCCATATCCACACGTGACCTTGGGCAACCTACACAGACAGACAGACAGACAGACAGGTGTCCTGAATGGTTTTATGTGTTTGGTGCTCCGTCCTCCCACCTGGCATGGAACGGCTTGTGCGCAGGCCCTTTTGTTTTTGGTAGCGAATTTGACATTGGTGTTTTTTGCCTGGGGGATGTCAAGGCATTTGCCGTCGGGTCCGCCGAAGGCCCAGCCGTGGTAGGCACACGTGATGGTGTGCTGGTACTTGTCCACAATGCCCTCACTCAGCGGCGCCAGCCGGTGCGGACAGCGGTCGACATAACACCGCCACGCATTGCCGTCGTGCCACACACAGAACGAGCTCCCCAGCACACGAACCGCATGGGCGTGGCCCCGGTCAGCGCTCTCAGACAACAGCACCGGGTACCACGCCCGCAACCAATCATAGCGCTCGGCCGCAGGTGGCCGGTCCTCGGCAGCCGACAGATCTTCATCGACATGGGAATACTCCTGAATGAGCGGGAAGGATGCAGCAGTGGGCACGGCCGCGTCCGCAGCGACGCTTGCAGATATATCGGGCGCAGCAACAGCATCATCTAGCGGGGCTGCTGTGTGCCGCGATAGCCTCAGTCGCCTTGGCGAGGGAATGGGAAAGAGCGATGAGTGGCCGACGAAGGCGGCATCTGCGTGCCATGTGCTGAGGGGCAGGGTGAGCGAGAGAAGGAGCACCGACGCCATGGGTGCCGCAGACGAGAGGAAAGGTACTGCAATGACTGCACTGTTGCCTCAACGGCAACACGTGGTCGAGCTCGCAAAACGCGTCACTCCCCGTTGTCTCCCTTCCGTGAGGCTTCCGTGAGCCCGTGCCTGTCCCGCCGTCCGCAGATCTCTCACTCTCTCGTATCGACAATGATGTTCAAGATCCTTGCCCTCGCCCTTCTCGCTGTGGGTCTCGTCAACGGCGCCGGCGAGGCAGCGGCGGAGAGTGCATCGGCACCCGCTGAAGCTGCTCCCGCTGCTGCGGCCCAACCTGAGCAGGAAGGAGAACCTGCTGAGCCAACCGACAACATCATCGACGTTGCCGAGGAAAATGGCTTTCTCCTTCTGCTCACCGCCCTCAAGGCCGCCGACCTCACCGACACTCTCAAGGGCGACGGCCCGTTCACCGTCTTCGCACCCACCGATGAGGTGAAACGCACTCTCTCCCTGTGCTGACTGCACCGTTCATCACTGTGGCTAGTCATGTGTGGTGCATGTCTCCTGTTCTGCAGGCCTTTAAGGCTCTGGGGGAGGATGCTTTAGCGGAGCTCCTCAAGCCCGAAAACAAGGAGAAGCTAGCGGGCATCCTCAAATACCACGTCGTGGCGGGCAAGTTTGGCTCGGAGGATCTCACAGACGGGCAGGTGGTGCCGACTCTCCAGGGCGAGTCGGTGACGGAGACGATCGATAGCGACGGGACAATCATGGTGAACGACGCAACGGTGGACCCTGCCGACGTGAGTAGTCAACACAGCACACCGCACCACAGAGAGAAAGATGCCTGCCTGCTGCAGTCATCTGTGTGGGTTCTCCCTCCCTGTGTGTTGTCAGGTCCCGGCCAGCAACGGCATCGTCCACGTCATCGATAAGGTGCTCATACCTCCCAAACCCGACGAAGGTGAGGATGGCGGGTCGCGCCGCTCTCTGCGGGCCATGTAGAGAGAGGAGAGGCCTTTCTTCCTTCTTTTCTAGCTGGGGCTAGTCAGGGTGTGGGCTCGTTCTTGTCTCTGTTGTTTATCTCTCTTGTCTGTCTGTCTGTCTGTCTGTCTGCCTGTGTACACGCTGCTTCAGAAGTGGGCACCATTGCCGAGGTTGCCGCGGCCACGCCTGAGCTGAGCATTCTCGTCGATGCCCTCACGGCCGCTGACCTCGTGCAGACCCTTGAGGGCGATGGCCCATTCACCGTCTTCGCACCCACCGATGAGGTGGGATGCACTGTCCTCTCTGTCCTGACTGCGCCGTTCATCACTGTGGCTATCCATGTGTGTCGCGTCTCCTCTCTGCAGGCCTTCGTTAAGCTGCTGGCGGAGTTGGGTGTGACCTTGGAGGATCTCGTCGCCGACACGGAGAAGCTAAAGGACATCCTCCTCTACCACGTCGTTAGTGGCGCGGTTAAAGCGGCGGATCTTGAAACGGGCCCGGTGATGACTGTCCAGGGCGGCAATGTGCAGGTGACGGTCAAGGACGACGGGACAATCATCTTGAACGAGGGAACGAACGACGCAACGGTTGTGATCAAAGACGTGAGTAATGCACACGCCACACCACACCTCAAGAGAGAAAGGCCTGCCTGCTGCAGAAATTTGTGAGGGTTCTCCCTCCCTTTGTGTTTTCAGGTCCCGGCCAGCAACGGCGTCGTCCACGTCATCAGTGAAGTGCTCACACCTCCGACTCGCCGCTCTCTCCGTCATTAAAGAGGAGAGGCCTTCCGACCGGGGCTAGTCAGGGCGTGGGCTCGTTCTCGTCTGTCTTCTCTCTCTCTCTCTCTCTCTCTCCCTGTCTGTCTCTCTCAGTCTTGACTCCGTGTACCCGCTGCTTCAAGGTCAGTGGGGCGAGTTTTGTCGAGACCAGGTGGTATGTGATAAGCGCACCTCTGCTATGCTCACCACGCCCGCTCGACACGTCCATGCACATGAGGAAAGTGATCGTGTGCATGTGTGTGTGTGTGTGTGTGTGTGTGTGGAGGGCGGAGAGGGAGCAGGGGGGTGGCACACGCGTATTGTGGGCTGACCATTTGTTTTTCTGGGACCCACAGCGACGTTGCTGTGGGTGCGTGGTGGGGTGAGACAGCTGTGGTGAAGTTTATCGTTGCCCTTTATCGATCCATGTAGTGTCCATGTAGTGTGTGCATGCCGTTCATACTGTGTGCGAGCCCCTGCCTCTCAGAGGCAGTCTGAGAGGCAGGCTCGCTCGCTCTTTATGATAGCCACACATTCATTCACACATGGGCCGACTCAGGCCGACGTCTCTCTAATTCATCCACTTGCACTGGTGAGTGCATCTGTGGCATGTATAAAGGGGCAGATAGGGGGATGATGGGATGATGGATGGGAGGTCACGCCATACTTGATACATCCATGATACTTGATGACAGAGTCACGTCACGCTTCTCCGTTCACACCCACACACGTCACACCACACACACACACATTTCCACACTGGGCTCGGTTCGCGACGCACGATTTTAGCAGAACAGGCACTGGAAGGATCATTTGGCACATGTGTGACGGGCGGGGTTGCGTGAGTGTGCGGGTCTGTGTGCGTGCGCGTGCGGGTGTGTGTACTGTTGGCGCGCGACGCCTGGCAGGCGTCGGCTCCCACAGGCAAGGGACACCCAGGCAGAGAGATTTTCAGTGGAATGACGACGGGAGGGCTGCATGTGTTGATATCACACGTGTTGCCGTTACCTGATCCTTCATTGCAGATGTCTGCCAACTTGTCTTGTGAGTGGGGACTGGGCACAGGGGGGACAAGGGCGTGGGCGTAAAGGAAGCGCAACACATCGTCTCCCGAGATCAGATGTGCAGGCCACCCGCAGCCGACAAAGGCGTCATGCATTGAAGCGCAAGATCAGAGAAGGCGACAACCTCTTTTGAGTGCAGGGGTGTCCGTAAAACAGTAAAGGCGAGTGTTTAGGCAATGCGTGAAACCGGAAGGGAGGTGGAGCTCGCAAAGATCCGACGTCAAGATCCGCTCCCCCGCTCGTGCCTGTCCCGCCTTCCGCAGATCTCTCACTCTCTCGTATCGACAATGATGTTCAAGATCCTTGCTGTCGCCCTTCTCGCTGTGGGTCTCGTCAACGGCGCCGGCGAGGCAGGCGCCGCCGAGGCACAAGTGTCAGGAGATGGTGCGTCGGCACCCGCTGAGGCTCCTCCCGCTGGTGCGGCCGAACCTCAGCAGGCAGGAGGAGAGCCACCTGCTGATGCTGAGGCAACTGGTGACATCGTCGACATTGCCTCAGAGACAGATGACCTCAGCACTCTGGTCACCGCCCTGGAGGCCGCTGGCCTCGTGGAGACCCTCCAGGGCGCTGGCCCATTCACCGTCTTCGCACCCACCAATGCGGTGAGATGCACTCTCGTGTGCTGACTGCACCATTCGCCACTGTAGCCATGTGTGTGGTGCATGTCTCCTGTCTGCAGGCCTTTGAGGATGTGCCGAACTTAGACGAGATCCTCGCCGACCCGGAGGAGCTAAAGGACATCCTCCTCTACCACGTCGTGAGTGGCGAGACTGCCTCGACAGATATCCCAACGACTGCCAAGAAGGTGGCGACTGTCGAGGGCGAGGAGGTCGATGTGCTGAGGGATGACACGGCCACACCGAATACAGTCACGGTGACCGACGCGCAAGGAACGACGTACGATGTGGTGAAGGCCGACATCAAGGCCACTAACGGCGTCATCCACATCATCAATGGAGTGCTCATTCCCTGAGCCGACGATGGTGCGGATGGTGAGTCGTGCCGCTCTCTGCGTGCATGTGAGAGAGGAGAGGCCTTTCTTCCTTCTTTTCTTATTGGGGCTGGTCAGGGTGTGGGCTCGCGCTTGTCCATCGCTCTTGTCTGTCTGTCTCTCTCCGCCTGACTCTGTGCACACCCTTCTTCATGAGTGCGGCGAGTTTTGTTGAGACCAGGTGGTATGTGATAATCGCACCTCTGCTATGCTCACCACGCTCGCTCGACACGTAGATGCAGATCAGCAACGTGACTGTGCGTGTGTGTGTGTCCGAGGGAGGAAGGGAGTGGCATGTGTGTTTTTTTGAGATCCACAGCAACGGTGCTGTCTGTGTGAGTGTGGTGTGTGTGTGCGTGATGATGCTGTGATGACGTCCGTTGTTGTTTTATCGATCCATGTAGTGCGTGCGCGTTTTTTCCGCTTGCTGTGTCCGAGCCCCTGCCTGTCAGAGGCACGGCGGCTCGCTCTCTCTGATACCGACACATACAGACATTGGCCGACCCGGCTAACACGTGTCTGCTATTCACCTGCATGAAGGTGTGTTGTGTGCATTTGTGGGAGAGGGGGAGAGGGGTGGGGCTGATGGGTGTCCACCACGCGCTTCTTGATGGTGTCACATGACTGCTTGTCGTTCGCACTCACACACGTCACACCACACACACACAGATTTTCGCATCGGCTGGGTTCGCGACGCACCAATTTTCGCACGACAGGCGCTGGCTGGATCACCTGACGTGTGTGTGACGGCCGCGTGTTTTCTGAGGCGTCTTTCTTGTGGCTGGCTGGAAGGGATGTAAGACACGCAGAGGTGTGTAGGTCCACGCCTCTATCTGTTCGTCGTCTGAGTCATTCGTTGTGTTTTGTATGTGGTGTTCACTTTGGGGCTTGGGCTTGGCGTGCGTGTGTGTTCGGGTGTGTGTATTCGCGGCGCGACGCATCTTCGCGTCCCACCTAGGGAACGGAGAGGTGTCTGCGCCATAGCCATGGGACGCTCAGGCAGACAGATTTGCAGACGAATGATGGTGCGGAGGCTGCATGTGTGATGAATTCGCACCTGCTGCTGTCGCGTCATCCTTTCTTTGCAGATCTGTCGGCCTGCTTGTTTTGTGAGTGGGGACTACACAGGGGGGACAAGGGCATGGGCGTAAAGGAAGCGGTCAACACATGATCTCCTCCTCACAATTTGCAAGCCAAGCTCGCAGCCTCGCAGATCTTGCGTTCTGGAGCACAGCAGAGGGCTGTCCTGCGCCCGTGGCAAACATGTTTGTTTCAGCTCTGGCAGATCTTCGGAAGATGTGTCACCTGGCTCTTCTCTCGCTGCTTGCTCCAGCTGCATACGTCACTGCGGCAGAGGCCGCTTTTCGAAGACTCGACAGCGCATTCGCCCCTCCCGGCACTCTATTCCACCAGCCCGCTAAGCGCCACGCGCTTTCATCACTCCGCGAGGCTCTGCATAAAGGCACGGCAGAAGCGGTGCTGCTCACGAGGGAGCCTGCAACAGATACGGCCATGCAGCAATGGACAGGCACCTTCACTCTGCCCACTGAGCATCACCAGCCGGCCGCTGACTCATCATCCGGCCGGGAGCAGTACAACTGGCTACAGGCGTGGTACCCGGTGCTGTTGTCTGAGAGTGCTGACCGGGGCCGCGCCCATGCGGTTCGTGTGCTGGGGAGTTCGTTCTGTGTGTGGCACGACGGCAATGCGTGGCGGTGTTATGTCGACCGCTGTCCGCACCGGCTGGCGCCGCTGAGTGAGGGCATTGTGGACAAGTACCAGCACACCATCACGTGTGCCTACCACGGCTGGGCCTTCGGCGGACCCGACGGCAAATGCCTTGACATCCCCCAGGCAAAAAACACCAATGTCAAATTCGCTACCAAAAACAAAAGGGCATGCGCACAAGCCGTACCTTGCCAGGTATGTAACCGACACACACACACACAGACGGTGATCAGTCGCATGGTAGGGAGGCGTGATGCTCGGCGTGTGTGTCGTGTTGGTCTACAGGTGCGTCAAGGTCTTGTGTGGATATGGCTTGACCTCTCACCCGAGGGGCTGGCGCTCGCCAATGTCACCGAGCCAGCTGTCGTGCCCGAGCTCGACGAGCCAGCCTTCAAGAAGACTGAGGCAGAGGGCCGCCACATGTTCTATATGCGGGACATGCCCTACGGATGCGAGGCCCTCCTTGAGAATGCCATCGACCCGTCACACGTGCCTGGTGGGGCGGGGCGGCAACCACAGCCACACGCCACACACATTAGAATGGATCCACTCTTTGTGTGTGCCTGTGTTGTTTGCCCTGGTCAGTAACGCATCACAACGCGCTGACATTGCAGGGTGCGCGGATGTCCCGCACGACGACCAAGCCGCTGGACATGGTGCTCAAAGAGCGGGACGTGTCGATGAGGGAGGGCTTCACAACCATAGTGAGGTCTGGCGGGTCCAAGGCCTTCGACAGCTACACGGTGAGCTTCATGCCACCGGGGCGCCTCATGTACCGCACGCAGAAGGGCGACCGCATCAACTACTCCATCTTCTACTGTGTGCCGCAAGAGCCTGGTGACTACCGCCACACAGACGGACAGAGACAGGGGGAGAGAATCAGATCACGGCTCTCTATCTTTTTCTGTGTGTGTGCGTGCAGGTCGCTCTCGCTTCTTTCTCCGTGCTGCGTCGACTCTGCCTCAGCCGTACGACTGGCTGCCCCAGTGGGTGCGCCACACATGGGAGACCGCATTTCTTAACCAAGATATGGTCTTCCCACACGAACAAGGTCATCCACACACACACACACTTCTTGTGCGCTAGGCGACATGTCCTCGTGTATCTCTGCTGTGTCGTGTATGCAGAGCGTCATCTGCTGAATCTGAAGGCGGCGATGGAGTCCGATTCGCCCCATGAGGCCACAGTGGACCGGCTGTACTACATGCCCGCGGCGGCTGACGTGCCTATCCGTGCCGTCCGTCGGTGGCTGCAGCGCTTCTCCTACCCAGGTGTCATTCCCAACTTCATCAACATCAACCCTGTCCTCAAGGGCAGCTCGGTAAGACACACACACACGTGATGGATGGGGGGATGGAGGGACGGGAGCAGAGCCTAGATGGGTGTGTGTGTTGGTGTGTGTGTGTAGGCTTTGGGTCCTGCAGAGCGGAGCCGGGAGCGTTTGTTGACTGCATGGGACTCACACACCAAGTACTGCCCCTACTGCAGGGGGGCATACAGGAACCTCACGTGAGCTCAGACGACGATACATACATACCAGCCAGCTGGCCGGACGGACGCATAGACCTGCATGCTGCTGTCTGTCTGTCTGTCTGTCTGTGTGTCGTGTTCCTTCGTTCAGTCTGATAAAGTATTTTGCGATTGGTGTGGCGCTCCTGTCGTCCTCATCTTCTTTCGCAGCTATAATGCTGAGGTGGGTGCCAGTGCAAGGCAGGCACAGCACAGCATCGTTTATACGAGCGATGATGGCTCCATTCATCATTCTTTCCTCAGGCGCGTTGGGATGAGCGGCACACTGGCTCTGTCGGCGGCGCTGGGCGGGCTGCTGGCCCGATGGCTGCACGTGTTTACGAGGCGGTTTGTGTATGAGGACTTCTCACATCAGCTCAACCAGGAGGACTACATATTGGCCGCCAACCGACTCAGGAACCTGTAGCAGGGCACCGCACCCAACCCACTGTAGAGAGTGTGGCAGGGCAGATGGACCTGTGGGCGTGGGCACCCATGGATTGGTTTGGGGGTTTTTTTTTGTTTTGTTTTGGTTGATCCCGCTGCATATGGGGAAAGTTTGTATATAAGACCAACCGATCTGACGGACGGACTTGTGTGAGAGAGTCGTATGTATTTGTTTCTCTGTGTATGGTATGCGGCGGTGCGCGCTCGCACGGCCTCTGGTGTGGTGCAGTGCACGGCGGCCTCCATGTGTATTCTATGCGAGGCGGGCCGGCTGGCTGGCTGGCAGTTGTGAAGAGAAGAAAGAGAGTGCGTGGCGACTTTCTCGTCGTGAGAGGAGAGAGCGCATGATGGTCGCTCGCACAGTGAGTGAGGGGTGGAGAGAGTGAGGGAGGGGGGGGAAGGGGGGGGGCTGTGTGTCGTCCATGTTTGTATACATAATAATATCAACAGCAGTGAGTCAGTCAGTCCTACACCCACCCATGTCATGTCATGTCATGTCTGTACAAACAAACAAGGCTGCAATGAATGATTGCAATGAATTAGTCAGTCAGTCCATATATTCTCTCTCTCTCTCTCTACAGCCTTGCCCTGGGCTGCGGCTGCGCCAGTGCCGAGAAGGCATGCACCACTGCCCGCGACATGACGCGCAGCTGCTCCTCACTCACATGACGATGCACTGGCAAATACAACACCTGCAACACACATGACACACACAAGCCCTCACACACACACACACACACACACTTGTGGTGCTCGACCCACACGCAGACGCCCACCTGTTTCATCAGTGCATCGGCATTGGTGGGCCTGGGATAGCTGCCCGTAGCGGGTGGGTGTATGAGTGTCAGCTGAGTGCTGCCGAGCGAAGCGAACACGCCGTACGCCTCGAGGGCCCTCTCCATGCGCTTGGGGTGCACATGTGGTGGGCATATGATGGGATACAGCCAGAAGTTGACCGTGTGGGCTGCGCTCCCCGGCACACCAATCCCGTGACTCTCTAGCCCTCGTGTAAACACCTGAGACACAAGCCAAGCGACAGGAATGAATGGATGCGTCTGTGTGTCTGTCTGTCTGAGACATGAACGAACGAGTGTGGGAAGGCAGGCCTACACGCAGTTTGTTCATGTCGTTGTCGAATGCCGTCGGATCCCAGTACTGCAGCCGATACTTGAGGGCTCGTAGCAGACCGAGGCAGGGGCGGAGGCGAAACCTGAACAGCAAAGCGAAACCTGCCTGTCGGGCTGGACATCTGTCGTGCCTCGCTCACTGCTGCAGCCGGTCCATCTCCCCGCCAGCCTTGAAGTTGCGCAACTGAAGAAGGGTAAGTAGGCAGAATGGATGGATGGATGAGCGGACACGTCTGGCGTGACTGACCAAAGACTAACCAGATCAATGAAGAGCGGCCGATGGTCCAATCCGAGCGCCCTCACAAGGGACAGGAGCAACCTGCTCCCGTTGGGCTTCTGCAGCACCAGGATGACGAGCACCAAAAGCACCTTACGCCGGTACCTGACGGTGGACTGCACCGGCCACTCCATCCGCAGCTGACGAGCCCCCTGGGCGACATCTGGGTCGCGGAATCGCACCAGGGCACCCCCGAGGGCTGTTTGTGTCTTGATGGTGCCGAAGGAGAAGAGGGCGACGTCGCTGCGGGGGTGCCCGGTGTACTCGGTGCCGGCGAATGCCTCGGCGCAATCCTCAATCAGACACAGCCTGTATGTATCAAGAGGGAAGGGAGAGAGGCACATGACATCAGGCCTGCCTGTACTTGCTTGTCTGCACGTCGTTTACCTACCTGTGTTTGTCTGCGATATCAGCGAATGGGTCTACCGGGTTGAAGCGGCCGTAGATGTGCGTCACGAACAGGGCCCACGTCTGCACCGACGGACGGCATCACATCACATCACATCAGATACGGGCCAGTTGAATCAAATCAATGATTTATTCTGTGTCAGCCATCAGTCATTCCATCTCACTCACCCTGGGAGATATGGCTGCTTCGACAGCCTGCGGCGTCATCTGTGCCGTCCGCACATCCAAGTCAATCGGCACAGGAACACAACCATGATACCTACACAGACACACAGACACACAGACCACATGCGCCATTGAACAAAACATCTACCTTTTCGCCTCCCACCGGCCCGCCCGGCCCACCTGAGTATCCTGGCGATGTCGGGTATACTCACAGCGCTTATCAACACTTCGTTGCGATCCACATACGGCCCCCCGACTGCTATCCCGCTATCCTCGGTTGGCCTCCTGCCCCGCATGGCGGTGAGGAAGAGGTCCAGCCCGGCACGCGCAGAGTGACACACCACACCACTGAATGATTGACGAGAGGGTAAAGGAGGAGAGGCAGCTGGAGGGCCGACGGCCGCCGCTACAGGCACGTCAGGCGGGTCGCTGCGGCTGCGGGCTTGGCCCAGCCAAAGATCCACGACCTGCAGCACACACACACACACACATACACACATACACACTAAAGCCATACGTGGTTCTGTGCCAGCATTCCCCGTGCATTCTCCTTACCTCCTGCTCCACCCGCGCAGCCTCCTTTTCTGAGCCCCAGCTCCCCGAAGGCAGTGTGCGGTGCAGTATGCAGAGGGCGCTGGGGATGGACAGATCTACCGACAGGGGATGAGTCGGCACCAGCCGATAGCCCGATAAAATAAAATAAAAATGCTCCAGCGACTCGATGTCCTCTGCCGACGAAGCAGGCGCATCTCCGTCAGAAGGATGATTATGTGCCGAGTCTGCGGCTGCGTCGTCGCCCGTTGATGGCAGCATTTGGTGGGAAGAGAGAGATGCCTCAAAACTCCATGCCAAGCGCCATGCTCACGGGGAAAGGCTGCAGTGCCTCAAGGTTCCAACTCTGTAATTGCAGCCTGCACCTGCATAGTGAGTAGAGTGGGTGGGCTGGCTTCGTTGGGGTTCTTGAGGAAAGAAGGAGGGAGCTCGCAGATCTTCCTTTCCTAGGGCTGCGTGAAACCGCTGTATTGTGTTTGGTTGGTCTTTACCCGGTTTCTCCGTTTGTGAAGGGTTCACCGACGGCACCGGCTCTCCCATTCCAGCCGACTGTGGCCCAGCGACGGCGTCGGCGACACCACTGCACGGCGGACTCTGCATAGTGGAGTGACGAGGTGGGGAGAGGCCGCTGCGGTGAGGGGAGAGAAGAGGAGGCCTGCCTCTGCTGCAACGCCACTGCACACCCTGCACCTCCTCCCGCAGCACAACGGACATCAGCAAAAGGCAGCAACCACATCCACCTGCCCTCGTCCCCTTGTTTGCAACTTGCAACAGCCCCCCAACGCAGCCAGGGACCTCAAACACACCGACCCGCAAGGCCGTGACCACACCCACACACCGGCGCGACTCGTCATCCCGTTTGTCTGCACCCGCTTGGTGGTGTCGGGCTCGGCTTGGTCCGTGAGCTGCCATGGCGCTGCACGGTCCTGCGGCTGGCGAGACGGATGTGTGTGGAGACGCCAGTTGTGACCGTGACTTGAGCGACGCGGGTTTGCAGGAGGAGATAGCGGTGTATGCGGAGGAGCATTCCGTCAAGGGTGCAGCCAAGAAGTACAACCTGGGGCGTGACGTGGTGCGTGTGTTCCTGGAGAAGCATCGCAAGGGCTTGTACAAGGCCAGGCCCTGGTACCTCAAATGGATCTCATGCGCACACAGAAACATCAACGGCGCTCTCCAATACATCTCGGTGAGGGGGTGTCAGAGTCAGTCAGAGAGGAGAGAGGAAGGGAAGCCGTGTTTGTGTCTGTGTCGGTGTCTGTGAGTGTGGTGGGGACACCTTTGTTGTGTGTTGTGGTGGTGTGCTGTGCTGTGCTGTGGTGTGTTGTGTTGTGTTGTGTCAGTTTTCCGGTGTGGAGGAGGACGACAAGGCGTTGCGTGACCTCCAGGCCATCGAGCGGCAGCGGGAGAGGGACCTGCAGGCCAGGGACAAGAAGACCAAGGAATACAAAGACCCCACACACGCCACACCGTCACCGTCACCGCCGTCGTCACCTGCGCCACCCACAGCCACACCCGGGCAGCCCCGCACAGAAACCGCCAAGCCGTAAGACAAGACCTCACTGACCAGCTTAGCTACTTGCGTTGCCATGCATGACACAGCAAAGCCACAAAGCGTATATATGTGTGTTTTGTGTTTTCTGTGTTGCAGTGGAGTTGTGTCTGGCAAGGATGGTGCCAAGAAGAAGACGCGAAGCAAGGCCACCGGAGCCACCAAGGACGCCACACAGCCCGACGAGTAAGAAAGAGATGATTCCAACGTCCACCACACACACACACGTGTGAATGTCGTTTCCCTCCTTGCCTCTGTGGGCTCGTGTGTGTGTGTGTGTGTGTGTGCAGTGTGTGTACTGGTCGCACCAAGCCCGCCGTGTCCGACGTCTCAACTGCCCCATCTGTGCCCGCAAAAGGTGAACAGAACAAACACTCAGCCCACAACACAGGCAGTGCAGTGCATCTGTGGTGGCTGCCATTCATCTCTATCTCTCTCTCTCTCTCTCCGTCTGTGTGTGCAGTTGGCAGCCCATCGCTTTCCTCACACCCGCTCGTTCTCCCAATGCCCGAAGCTGGCAGGTGCGCAGCACAGCACAGCACACAAAGCACATACACTTGCCCTGCAGCCATTAATGGCTCCATGCATGTCTTGGCTGTGATGTGAATGTGTGTGTCAGTGGTTCTGACATGAATGTGCTTGGGGTCCGTCGGCTGGCCAAGGACTCCTCCGCATCCACCAAAGACACACTCGACAGTGACGCGACAGACAGGTGGGTGAAGTGAGTCGATAGATATATCGACCAACACACACACCACACGACACAACACACGTGCAACGGTCCGTCTTTGTCTCCTTCACTCACTCCTCAGTGGCAACGCGAGCAGCGGCCGCCTGCCCCCGTCTGACAGCAGCACCGGGGACTTCACCCCCTCCCCATCCGACGCACTCAAGGGGGACCACACCGCTGACGACACATCCGGGGGGGCATCACCCACCAACACCGACACACTCGGCGGCTGCAGCGCCACCTCTCACACCGGCACCTCCGTGACGGGCTTGTGTGGGATGAGCCACAGCAGCAACGGCGCCTCCGTGTTGAGCAGTGTCGACATGAACGCATTCCCCACAGAGCGGAGCATCTTGGGCGGCCGTGGTGGGGCCGGCGAGAGCGACGGCAGCTGCGACGTCGTGGTTGGTGCTGATAGTGGCGTTGTTGGTGTGGACGGTGGTGTTGAGGGCGAGAGGGAGGCCGATGCAGGTGTGGGTGTGGTGGAGGCGCCCGACCGCACGCCCGTCACTGTGGTGCCCGTGCGTGAGGACAAGAAGGATGACGTGGCGCCCCCGACCAAGAGCGATCACAGCAAAGGTACGTACGCTACGCGGCACCTTACCTTCACCCTCACCCACTGTACTGACTGGTGTGTTTGTTGTGCCAGACGGCAAGAGTGTGGCTGTGAGTAGCGCATCCGTGAGTGTGGCTAGTGCCCCCCACCCGGCCCCTGGCAGCACCGGCGGCGGCAGCCGGCCGCCTCTGTCGGCCACCGAGAAAAGTCTGCTCAAAGTGCAGCGAAAACTCAGAGAAATCGAAACACTCATGCAGAGGTATGTTTGGTTTTAACAGATCCCCTGACGGACGGACGGCACACACACACGGAGGGAGACGGATGGATGGATGCCTTGTCTCTCTCTCTCTCTCTCTCTCTGTGTCTGTGTGTGTCTGTGTGTGTGTGTGCAGGCGTGTCAGTGGGGTCAGTATGGAGTCTACTCAGCTGCAGAAGATCTCGAAACGGCCGCAGCTCCTGGTCGAGGAGGCCACCCTACTCAGTAATAGGAATACTGACTGACACCTCACACACATGCATTGCAACACCGCCACTCACTCCTTCATTCACTCACCGTTGGTCTCTCTCTGTGCTGCCTCCCTCCCTCCTTGACTGATGGATCAGACGATTTGCCGTGGGATTCACTGTTCTGTCGCAACGTTCCCAACGTGCCCAGCCCCCCCACCCGCCCCATCACACACCCCCACCCCCCTCCCCAGCAGCAGCAGGACACCGACACACCCGAGGCCTCACCTGCGTCGTTCCGCCAACACCTCGCACAGGCACACACAGAGAAAAAGCACGACCACACCGAGCGACAGCAGCAGCCCGCCAAAGCCAAGGTGGCCGAGCAGACCGAGGCGGCCACTTTGGCTGAGGAGAAGGTCGACGGCGCCAAGGACGACGGGCGCGCCGAGGACGACGCTCCGCAGGAGCAGGCAGGATGTGACGCGGGAGGCAATTTGTCCAAGGCCGGCGAGGGTGGTGGTGAGGTGGAGGTGGGTGCCGCGTCGTCCTCTGACGGTGCCGCAGGTCCCTGCTGGACGAGCGGCGAATACGGTCAGGATGACGACGGCGCACACACAGACACCCTCGGCCAGACCAAAGACAAGAAGGAGGACAAGGCCAATGATACTGATGGGGCGGCGGGTGGCGGTGGTGGTGTAGGTGTAGGTGTTGAGGACGATTCCGTGTGGCCGTCTCTGTCGGCTGCGGCCATCCCCCAGGCGCCCAAGACGGAGCGTGGCGTCAGTGTGAGTGAGACGGGGGAGGAGAAGGAGGCCGCCGGGTCGGCCATTGCGGCCGGGACGGGCGGCAGTGGTGGTGGTGGTGGCAAGGGCGGCAAGGGGCGCAAGACCACACGCATGAGGCCCCTGACAAGGTTCAACGGATCGCCGCACCCACGGTAGGTCAGGGAGGCGAGGCGGTAATCTAATCCATCAGCAGAGAGAGGAGCGATGCAGTCCGGGTGTGAGGTGCGTACTCTGTGTGTGTGTGTGTGTGTCTGTGTGAGTCAGTGCGCTGGTGGATTCCGGTAGCGTTGTTGGCGAGGGTGAAGGGGCGGGCGGCGACCAGCAGAAGCGCCGCACACGAAACGCATCCAATGCGACACCGAGACAGTAAGGAAACCCACAAAAGACAAAACACGACCGACCAGCATCATCTCTCTCTGCCCTTCCCCGCTCATGTATGTGTCTCAGAGAATACCGTCCTGCGGTGGTCGCAGAGAGCAAGGGTACCACACCTGCCCACGCCCAGCACTCCGAGTCCGCCCTTGGCACCCACACCCACACCCACACCAAGAAGCCGTCGGGCCGTCGTGAGGAGTACCGACCCGTTGTGCGTAGAGCGAGTGCCGGTGCCACCACTGCTGGTGGCGGTGCTGATGGGGGCAGTAGTGGTGTTGTTGACACAAAGGACAAGGAGAGGGTGACAGTGGCGAGTTCTACTACTGAGGAGGGCCCCGTCGGCGCGTCGGGCAAGGCCGAGAGGGTGGACACGATTACCAAGGAGATTCAGACGCTGCAGGGTAGGCCACGTGCCAAGAACGACGGTCGAGTCAGCTGCGGGCCCTCGCTCATGGGTGTGGTGTTTGGTGCCTTGGCGTGCGCAGGTTTGTTGAGTGAGTGCGGCCGGTCGCAGTACAAGGTTGAGAAGAAACTCAAGGAAATCAACGCGCTCGAGGACAGGTACACACACACGGACACGGACACAGAACAGAGGAGGTAGGCAGGCACATAGAATGGTCAGACAGACAGACAAGTGAAGTGCGTCTGTTCTGTGTGGCTGTGTGGTCTGGTCTGGTTGTGTTGTGCAGCCTGGCTGCGGGCAAGCACCTGGAGGCCAACCAGAAGAGCAAGATCGACAGCAAAGAAGAGCTCACACAGAAAATCCAGGAAACCACTGGTATCTTGTGTTGCGCGTGACAGACACGCATCGAATGACACCCACCCATCGCCTGTGCGTCTCTCTGTCCGCGTGTGTCACTCAGCGGAGTTCAAGGCGATCGAGTCGAAGCTGGCCACCCTCAAGAGCACCAAGGCCTCCCTCCAGCGCGACCTCGAGATCCTCTCCACCCGCCCTCGCCGACCACCCCCACAGCCATTCTCCGCCTCATTCGCAGAGGCGCGGCTCTCGCCAAACGCGACCAAGATTACGCCTGCCCGCCACACACACCCCACCCCAGGCACCGGCACCGGCACCGGCAGCGGCAAACCGCCTCCCCCCACCGTGCCCCCATCGCCACACAAGCGGACTGTCGGCCGTGGGCTGATCCCTTTTCATGTGCCCGACGCGCCGCAGCGGCCCATGCAGGCTGGGGGCCGTGGCGGCATGACCGCCAGGAGCGGTGTTCGGCCGGTGAGTGCGCCGCCCGCTCGTGGCGCGTCGAACGAGACGCCCCCGTTGCTCAAGCGTGAGGTGGAGGGTGAGATGGAGACGGGTGCAGAGGGGGAGAGGGAGGTGGTCGGGGAGAAGAAGGACAAGCCGCAGGCCGCCGTCACCGATGACGCCGATGCGGAGGCGAAGAGCCAGATGAACGACATGATACCAGAGATGCAGTCGGCACAGACGGATCCGTCTCGCAGCCCGCCCGACGTGTCGCCGCCCATCTACTCCAACTACCCCAACTACCCGATGTCCCCGCACGGCGGCCCCTTCAGCCCCCTCGTCGGGCCGCATCCCTTCCTGCCCCACCCCCATGGCTACCACCCAATGCCGCACATCTACCCCACACCCGGCCCCGGCTATGGCTATGGCTACGGCTACGGCCCCCACCAGCAGTATGGCCGTGGGCCTCTGCGCAGAGGCCGGGGTCGGTACTACGGCGGCCGGGGGCTGCGGGGAAGCGGCCACTGGCACGAGTATGGCATGGGCATGGCCATGGGCGGCATGGGTATGATGGGCCCACACGAGTACGCTGTTCAAGTTGGTGTGGATGAGGGCTTGATGGCGAGCCCACCCCCAGTGCGGCCCCCGGTGCCATTCTCGGTCGACGTGGCCGCTGCTGCCGACGGAGGCAAGGAGGAGGAGGAGAGTGTCAAGGGGGAAAATGACGACACAGACAAGGAGGTGAGCACGGCCGAACCTGAGTGCACACGCGTGTGCGCGCGGTTGGGGCTCACGTCCGTTGGTGTCTGCGTCTGAATGTTCTTATCCTCAGGTGGAGAAGAAGGATGGCGATGGTGACGGCGCGGCGGATGCGGATGCTGCTGCTGCTGCTGCTGCTGCAGACTCAACCAAGACAGACAAGGACAAAGACACTGCTGAAGGAGACGGTAGGCACCACACCACACGACACGGCACTGCATGGCGCGTCATGAAATGATACTTTGCGGTTGTGTCTGACGAGCAGCTCCCGATAACGACAACTCGCCGGACGACGCGGATGCCGCCCAAGAGCCGATTCCCGCGCTGCCGCCATTCGCAGGTGGCGGGATGCCTCCTCAGATGGACTACAGACACCACGTGCCCAACCTACCGCCACCCACCACAAGTGAGGAAGCATCGAGCTAGGTCTCCTCGCAGGAGGAGAGGTGCGAGGTGGGAGGTGCACTGACTGGTTGTGTGTTATGTATGGATTGTGTGCCAGCAGGTGTGAGCTCGAGTGTGGCCTACTACTACTACGAGCCCCTGCAGCACGCGTGGATTGAGGTAGGTGGGTGCGGCGAATTGATTAAGAGGGAGGGAGGGAGGGAGGCATAGCATCCACTCACTGGTGGAAACGATTGACGGCTGGGCTGTTGTCCTCTCTCTCCCCCTCTCTGCTGTCGTGCTGTGTGCAGGTGCGCCTCCCGCGCCTGTAGGTTCGACCCCCGTCAGTACCCATCCCATCGCACACCACCCACCCACGCCTCGTCACGTCACACGACCTTCCGTCTCCACTACACTACACCCCACCCACCACAGCCACCACAGTTCAGTGCGGTGCATACGTGTGGTGTCTGTCGTGTCATGCTTTGTCATCTTCGTTGTGCGTTTTCATGTCGGGTCCACGGCCCGCCCATCCATCCATCCGTCCACCCATCCATCCCGCCATCACACCACACCCTCTTCTGATGTGTGTCGTGTCGTCCGTGCTGTGCATGCGATGCGTGTGTGTGTGCCTGCCTCCTGTGGTATTTGGCTAGATCCAAATTTTCACCCACCCACCCACCCACACACATATCTCTGCCTGTGGACCGAGTGCACATGGGACGGGCGGCGCCATGTCATCTGTCTGTCTGTGTGGTGTGGGGGGGCGTGGCGTGTGTGGTGGAGTGGATGGAGAGTTCCCTCCTCCTTATTGTATTGTCGATCAATTAAGGGCGGCCGGCCGGCCGGCTGGCTCCTTGCAGTGTGTGGCACACACACTCACACACATGTTTAGAGGCAGACAGACAGAGATACTCCCTCACGCACTGGCAGACAGACAGACAGACAGACGGGCAGACAATCTATCTGTGTGTGTGTGGTGGGCTCACAGTGCAATTCATTCGACTGCAGACGGACAGACAGTGACAGAGAGGTAGGTGTGTGTATGCGTGGTTGAGGGGGGGGGGGTCTCGTTTTGAAAGCACCAACACACACGCGGTGGATTGATAATTTGAAGAGCGGGGGAGCGGGGGATCGGACACACGGGACAGGACAAGACCACACGGCACACAAGACACACCGACACATAGCGCACACACGCTGTGTTGTCAGTTGGTCACTGTCTGTCTGCATGGATGTACGTATGTTTTATCGCCAGGGCTGCCCGGCTGGCTGGTGCCCTCTCTCTCTCTCTCTCTGTACAGGAAGAAGACCTTTCCCTGTCTCGCAGCTAGATATCTATCTACTTTAAC